GCCCTTCCCATTGCCCTTTCAGCATTGCTCAGGAGCTTCCTAAATTGGAGAGAGACCTGCTCCTTTCTTCCTTCCCTAGCAGATGGAAACAATCGAACAGCTGGATAACTTCAGGGCAGCATTTCAGGTGCTGATGTGTGGAATCTCTATAGCCTACTTTTGTGGAAGAGGAAGAAACTTCAGCAGATGACACTCTTTAGACTGGTCAGTCCAGCTGAGTACACACCAAGTTTCTCCAGGCCCTGATCTTACCCTCCTCCTCAATCCATCTGCATACCACCCCATGAGCACACTAGGCTCTGGAAAATTCTCCCCCAAGGTTTTGTGTTAATTGCACAGTGCACTGCACATAGTAGGTGGATAAGACTTTCAAATCAGTCAGTTAACCGCAAGGTAATCCCCACAGAGGATCTGGCAGCCTGATGGCGGGTAAACTTCAAAATTTCTCATGGGGAGTTCCTGGGAATCACAGTTGAGAATTGGATCAGAGAATTGTTTTCCCCAATAAAGAAATTCCTGAGGAGCCCAACCCCTTTCCTTTTCTGCAGAGGCAGAGAAGCAAAGGCAGAAGGAATTGGAAATACAGTTAGCAGAAGAACACAAACGCCTGATGGAAATGGCTGAAGAAGAACGGCTGGAGTACAAACGGCAGAAACAAGAAGCAGAGGAGAAGGCTCGTCTGGAAGCAGAGGAGAGAAGGCAAAAGGAAGAGGAAGCAGCAAGGCTGGCTCTAGAGGAAGCCATGAAGCAAACTCAGGAACTAGCCAGGTATGGGGTATTTGGGCAACAGTTGCCTTAGGGGGATTGTTTAAGGTCTTTGCTGCCTGATGCTAGTACTAGCCGTGCACTGCCTTTGGACTACTGAAGTTTCCTACTCCCTTGAGCATAGTTTGAAGGAACTAAAAAACAGATAGCTTCTTTCGCTGCAAACATCACAAAACTTCTGTAAGACTTATATAACTTGTGTTGAAGCTAGAAAGGAGTTTAGAGATAATCTATTGCAGCCCTCTGGTTTGCAGATGAGAAAAATGAGGCCCACATATATATTTTCTAAGCTGGCAATAAATGCATTACAGAAAAATATTTAAAGATGTGATAGGATTGCAGGAGGCCGAGTTTAGGTTGGTCGGCCAGGGCAAGACCTCTTGAAAGATTATGTATAAGGTGAAACCTGAATGACAAGGAGTTAGCCACATAAACATCTGAGAGAAAAATAGTCCAGCAGGTAACTAGTTAGTGCAAAGATTTAAAGAAAGACTGGCCTGTCAGACGAATAAAAGGACAGCATGGCTGGAATGAATTGAACAAGGCACAAAGTATACTCCCAGATGAAGTCAGAGAGGTAGGCTAAAACCAGATCTCACAAAGGCCTTGTTAGAAGGCACAGAATCCGTCATCAGGAGCCAACAGCATTTTCCTCCTTTATTCTCATACAATAGTAATGATTATTGCATTGTTCTGACAATAGAATCTTGGTTTTAATTGACTCTATAAACTCCATCTAAGCTAATACTCTTTAGGAGACTGGAAGGAGTAGGCAGCCAGAACTCTATTTCAAGGTTTTCCACTTATCCTTGAGTTGTTCCTCTTCTGGACTTTCTCCATCTGTTACATGAATTACAAAACGATAATCTTTTGTGATGTATTGATTCAATTTCAAAGTTTTGTACTCCATATATCATAGCAGTAGGGCTGGATTTGTAAGTATTGAAACCAAAAGCAAGCTATTGGAGATCCAATTTTTCACAAAAAGAGAACTGGCAAGTCATACCAGGGTAAGTTGAGCAATTTTGTAAGGTTAGCGCAAGTAGGTGAGAGCAGAAAACCAATAAAGGAGTTTGTGAGGAGTTGATCCTCACTCTACCAAGGGTTAGAACTTGATGCCAACTGGCTCTATTTCATCTTCATTTGTCTGACATTGGCCCAGGTACTTGAACTTCTGTTTCCTTCTCTACAGTAAGGGAGGTCCTTCCAGCAATGCAAGTTTAAGAACTCTGAGTTATGCTTTTCCTTTTACTTTTCCAGTAGGAGGCACATGATACTTTAACCTTCATGTGTAACTAAATGCACACTGTATAATCTTCCACTAAAATGCAAGATCAGGAGCCCCAAGTCTAACTGATGATTATTCAAACCCAAAGTTCAACAAGCGTATAAGGACAAATTCTGGGATGCTTAATCAGTATTGGGATTGTGGGTGGGGTTTTCTCCTTAGGCAAAAAGCTGCTTTGAAGAAACATCTTCATTTCCATCAAGAACTCCGCAAGGAAGCCAGTGGCCTGCAGTGGACGCACAACATTTCCAGACCATGGGTCTACTCTTACTTTCAGTTCCTCCCAATACCCAGACCTTAAGGCTAGAAGAAAACAAAAAAGTAAGTTGAGAGGTGGTGACAAAAAAAAGAAACTTCCTTCTATAATGAAGTTCCATACTGAGCCCAATTCATTCTACCTCAATTCGTTCACCTCAACCCACACCTAACTTCACTCTGGGAAGTTCACTCCATTCTCGCCAACCCTCCCTACCACACATACTTTACTCAACCCAATTAAACTCTTCTCTCACTTAAATCCTTTATATCCTCTAAAACCACATAAATCCATAAGTTTTGGTGCCTAAAACTGGCCCATTTTTATGTAATTTTACAATGTATGAATTTTAGTAAATTTCAGTTTAACTTCAGTTAGTAAGACACTAATGGTCTTAGGCTAGTCCAAGGATTTCATTTTAGTCAATGTGTCTGAAAGAGTTGCAGGTAAATGTAAACTCTGTAATGCAAATAAATCTGAATTAGCTAAGAGCTAATTCATACATTAAGAATTTTATTATATTCTTTATAAAGCAAAAACAAAACACATCCATTTCACCCTAAGAAACTAAAATGTAATGTCTATTTAAAACAAGGTAATCATTTGATAAATGTTCATTTGAGCAAAATGAGCTGTTTTGTGAGTTATTCTCACATTCTCTAAGTATAGATTCTAGAGCTGCGCTGTCCAATAAGAAGCCATATGTAGCTATTTAAAAGTAAGCTAAAACATTGAATTCTCCAGTCACACTAGCATTTCAGATGCTCAGTAACCACATGTGGCTACTGGCAATCATACTGGACAGCACAGATATAGAATGTTTTCATCATCACAGAAGTTCTATTGGACAGCACTGTTCCAGAGCCCTGAAAACTAACAAATCTTAAGGTTTTGCTCCTAACTGTGCCTTGAAGAATCAACTATTTATATAATTTTCCCATTTTTAAAATCACATTGACTCTACAAAGACTCTTGATAATTTATCTTTAACATCATTTAAATTAATACATATCTAGTATATATCATAGAATCATCATCAAAGGGGATATTAAAGTGGTATCTGAACCTGACTTTTCCCACAAATTTATTTTGCCCTATACCATACTTCAGAGCCCACAGCTGAAAAACTTAGTATTTGCAAATGAGTCCCTCAAATTTCTCACTAATGCTTGCAATGTATTTGCTTTCTATAGGAACTGCACTTCTATAATCCAGAAGTCAACCTTAATTTTGATTTTATATTGCTTTGTTATTGAACTTGGATTTGACGTTTATCTTTCACTGTTTTATGTAAAATAGAAAATGGCCAAAACACTATCAGTCATAGTGAGTTTAAATGTCACAAACTTCTCTCAAACTTATTGATCCTACTTACATCCATTCATTTCATTCACTCAATAGCACACTTTGTTAGATGAGAAAGTAGCATCTCAAGTAATTCAACCAAGAACAGAAGAAAGAACACTCAAGGAAAACGTCCTTGTGGGGGAAATTACCATTACTGACTTTATTTTCTCCCTTCTTTTACAAATTTAGGTTGTTGCAGTCAAGCACCAGGTAGAGTAGCTACACTAAATGTTATTCAAGGCCCCTTCCAAATCTGATATTCTATTAAATTGTTGCTGTGAGAGGCCTATTTTATCAGCACTGCCACACCAGATAAACACATTTTAAAGTTAACCACTGCAGAATGCAATACATTTAGAAGAATCCAATTAACTAAACCAAGAAAATTTTATTTCTCCAGTAGCTAAGCTCTACCACCTAAATGCTGAGCACCTTCAACATAGATGCAAACAAAAAGATGCCAAACTACATATTCAAGCATTCTGGATAGCTCAAATAGCCTATCAGGTTTGTTACCCAGGCCTGACAGAAATATGCAACTCAATGAAGATTTTCTACAAATGGGCCTAATTTCTATTCACTATTTATTATATATGATAAATGCCAGGTGATGATCTAAAAGCTCAAATTTAGCTGGACTATATAGGTACAATACAAAGAATCTTTCAGTTAGGGTCAGATATAGGAATTTACAAGACAAGCCAATTATTTTTCAACAGGTGACTTGAGCAGGGTATTTAAGCTATAACAGTTTATCAAATACATTAGAAATAGGTTTTATTTGCTCCTCTCAATTGCTCAGATGACATTCTATTTGGAATAACATGAAATTAATGTGTATGCATAGATATATACTAAATTCTGTGATTCATTAAAAGGTTAAGTCCTCTAATAGAAACTAATTTAAATTTTATACAAATTTAAATATTTAAGATATAAAGAAAAAACAAAAAATATAAACAAAGTATATGAAACCTTAACTAGGCAGGGAACATTTTGTAAACTACTCAAGGAGCAATTGAAATTATCAATATAAATCAATTAAGAATTTTGGTGTGCCCATTTATTCAAGATGTCCAGGTAACCATACAGAAATACCAAGATTTTTTAAAAAACAAAACACTGAGTATTTAAGAAGGTACTGTGGCCTTAATTAAATCCTTAATTCAGAAGGCACTTCAGTAACTTTCAGTGCTTCGAAGTCCTAATCATCATCGCTGTACAGTACTGAAGAAAAAAATTATTTGCACCATGTACAAACAATAATTTCCAGTATTATGCAAGAAAACCTTATGTTTTAGGCATTTTCTATTTCTATACAATTAAAAATAAAATGAACATTAGTACAGTTTTTACAAATATTTTGTTTATTTTAATGAAGCTGGTACAGACAATGTCCATTTAAAACCCATATCCCAGGCCAAAAAGTACAAATAAAATCAAAAAGAGCAGTGTTCTGTTGTACACATTTCTGCACAAATAACTTTATTAAACTGCTAATGAAAATTAGAACTTTTCTGGGATCTTCCTACAAGATTTTTCTTTACTCTTAAAATGCCTTCTCTTCAGTGAAGCCATCTTTGGAGTTAGTCTTTACTCTCATCATATCTGTTATCTTGACTCCAACCTGATATTCTTCTTCTTTTGGTCCAGACCCTCAGATTTTAAAAGTAGCTTCAAGTTAAGGAAAGGTCATTTTTCCACAGTTCAATTCTCTGAAAAACTTCCATCTCCCACTGAAAGTCATAGTCCAGGAGTGAAGCAATCACATGCTAGAACTTCAGGGCCAATTAGAAAGTCATTATGAACACTTGCATCGGTCGATCTTATTTATCACAAGCCTGAAAATGCACAGTCCTGAAAAAGGTGGCCTCTCTGTGCACACATGTAATATTTAAAAAGGAAAGATCAATATGAAGGGGGTTGAGGTTTAATCACCAAAAATCAGCACAGTGAAAACAAACAATAATGAACAATGGGCACTAGAATTCAAATTACCAGATGTTTTAAAGAAATGGGGTGCCAGTTTTCAACTCCGTTTTGAACACCACATTACAAAAGAACTATTTTTAAAAATAAAAAAGGATTGAGGGAAAAGAAAAAAAAAAAATAAAAAGAATATCTAAACTGTTGAATGACCCCCCGTTTGTTCCTGATAAACTTCAATCACATCTTCTTCCTCCATTCCCAGCTGTAAGAGGGAAGAAAAATATTTTAGTAGAATATAAAAGCACTATTTTTTCATTGGTTGCAATTATGTGGCCACTGTTTTAAAGTGCAAAAAGATACAAAAGAGGTCCATAGTTACACTGTTCTAAGATTAAGAATCCCGTTTCCTTTAATCTAAAGAACGTGGAGATATCTTTCCTTCTGATTCTGTACCTATAAAGTCATTCATTATTTTGATGAGTCCATTTAACTCTCCTGTTTATTCACTATATAAAATTTAAGTGTTTATTGAAAAGGACTTTAAAGTTTTAAATCTAATGAAATATGTATTTAATAGTATAATAGTTTTATGGCATATTTTCTGAAAAACGTTTTACTTCTGGATGTAATTAATAAAATCTTTTTCAAAAAACCTGATCTCACTTTGAAATATATGTGGTTTTATTCAGAAAAAATCCTGCCTAAGGATTAATTTCTAAGTGGTTTGCTTTGTCATTTATAATTCCTTCTGGCATATAATTATTTTTTTCTTTAATAATGACCAATCTCACTGCAGAAAAATTATCTACACATCTACTTTTACTCAATATCTCCAGATTTATAATCAAGATTTCTCAGCCCATTCCTTCTCAAGTCTTACCAAAAAGGGGGAGGGGGCTCTTTAAAATTCCTTTTACAGAACATTAAGCAAAGTATAGGCAATTATTGATTTTCTTTAATGTGCTTTATATGCATTGAAGTATTCTGGAATTTTTTTCTTAAAGATAGTACAGTAGTCCCCACTTATCCACAGGGGATATCATGCATTCCAAAGACCCCCAGGGAAGGCCCGAAAGTACTGACTCCTACTTATATTATGTTTTTTTCCAATAGAGATATATATACTATGTTTTTTCCTCTTTAGCATATCCGAATTGCCAACAACACTACTCTTGCACTTTGTGGCCATTATTAAGTAAAACAGGGTTACCTGAACACACGCACTATGATATCACAGCATATATAACCGAGACAGCTACTAAGTGACTAATGACTGGGTAGCATATACAGCGTGGATACACTGGACAAAGGGTGATTCACACACATCCCAGGCAGGATGGCGTGAGATTTCATTATGCTACTCAGAATTGTGCACAAGCCTATGAACTTTTTATTTCTGGAATTTTTCATTTAATATAATTTTGACCGTGGCAGACAGCAAGTAATTGAAACCATAGAAAGTGAAACTACAGATAAGGGAGACTTCTCTATTAATAATGGGTGCCTTCGAGAAATGGAAATGAAGACATATTCACAGTATATTTTCCATTTTATATATTTTGGTAGTTTGGCTTTTTATTACTTTTATTTTTAACTATAAGTATTTTTTCTTTAAAAAAGAAATGAGTACATAAGAGGATGTGGTGTCATACAGCAACCTAGGTGTCACCCTCAGTGAGGGAAAAGGACTGTGACTCTGTTGATTCTGGTGTGCCACCAGGGTTGAGAAGCAAAGCACTGTGAAAAGCAGACTGAAATAAAAACGCCAGCATTTTCCACTGAACTGCAATGGATCACAAAAACAAAAACAAAATTTTAAAGGAAAGTCTAATATCAGTAACTTTGTAGTTTTATAAGAAAAGTTGTATATTTTATAGGGGGCATTTTTGTGCAGAATTATAAAATATAAAAATTAAAATATGCTAAGAAAACTAAAAACTATGGAGAATATGAAGCTATAGCTTCAAAAAGTACATTAGTAGAGATGAATGAACAAGACAAGGAGGTCACTCCCTAAATACCTACTCTCTCCCACTGCCCCATTATTCTTCTGAAATAACATCTTAATAATAGTGAGAAAGGTGTCACTAAAATGTTTTAAGTATCTATTCTGTATCAAGTGATTATGCCAAGCTAGGACAGGGAAAATACAAGATTAGTATGGAACATCCTATTATGCCATAAGATAATAAAATACTCAAGAAAGTGGGTGGATACTAAACCTAGGGGGGATATTCAAAAGTATGTCCTCACAAATTACTCAATTAAAACAAGAAAAACAACAACTATACAGTAAAGAAACAAGTTAAATTGAGCGATAAAAATTAACATCACCAATAAAGGGTTTCATGTGCTCCAGATATCACACCCTGAGACACATCACCATTTATGTAGTATTCCAGCCAAAAATACATAACCCGAATCTGGGACTTTCTAGAAAATAACTGATTTGTATTCTTCAAAAATGTAAATGTCATGGAAGACAAAGAAAGGCTGAGGAAATGTTCCAAATTAATGATGATTAAAGAGGTACTTGAATAAAATATGTTGATACTGAACTGGATCCTGTGGAGGACAAAATTTACTATAAAAGACATAATTGGGACAAATGACACAATTAGGTTGTAGATTAAAGTATTCTAACAATGTTAAGTGCCCTGAATTTGATTAACAGTACTGTGGTTATGCAAAATATATCTGTTCTTAAGAAATACACACTAAAACATTAAGTAGTAAATGGCCATGGCGTATGCGATCTACTCCCAAGTGGTTCAAGGGATATATACACACATATATATGGGGGGAGGAGAGTAATAAAAAGCAAAAGTAGCAAAATGTTAAAAATAGGTGAATCTAGGTAGAAGAGAATACAATTCTTCCAACTTTTTTGCACTATTCTCCGACTTTTCTGTAAGGTGAAATTATTTCAAAATTAAAACTTTTTAAAAGATGGAGACGTTTCAAAAAGAACAGATACCAACTTGAAGGGACCAATATCTAAAGACCATTTTACACAGTTTCAAAGTATCTCCCCACAGATAATTTATTAATTATAAAGGAATATGATAATTTTACAATGGATAAATCTGGCAGTTACTGCCTTAACTAAGTAACCAAAGTCAATGTTACCCATAACAAGACAAATGAACATCATGTACCTCCTCACATAATGCAATCCGAAGTACAGTTTCACTCTGTGCCATTTGTACCAAAAATGCAAAACTGACTCTAATGAGGAAACATCAGACAAACCCAAACTGAAAGACATTCTAAAACCTAACTGGCATGTACTGCCTAAAAAATCTCAGCATGATGAAAAACAAAGACTGAGTAACTGCTCCAGATTAAAGGATGCTAAAGAGGCATGGTAACTAGTTAGAATGCATATCCTAGGTCAGATCCCAGGTTAAGTAAAACCAAAAAAGGCTATAAAGAATCTTATTGAGATGAATGGCAAAATCTGAATATTTTGATTACATATTTGATAATAGTACTATATCAATGTTATATCTAATTTGATAATTGAATTTTCACTCTTGGGAGATAACACTAAAATATTTATGAGTAAGGGTCATGATATCTGCAAATTAATCTAAATTGGTCTTCCAATAATAATGTTTACATATAAACAGAGTGATAAAGCAAATGTAGCGCAATGTCAATAACTGGTGAATCTAGGGAGAACATTATAAAGAATATGATACTAGTCTTATAAATTTGAAGTGTTTTCAAGATAAACATATGATAACCATACATTGTTCCCACTATCAGAAATATGAGAAATACCATTTTGTATCTGGAGGAAGAAATCTATACAATAGAAATACATACACACTCTCACGCTTTATTACTTTCAGATGCTTCTATGTGGGGTGCGTGGATATACAAACCAAGAAAATAGTCTATATGATAAAACAAATGAAGACACAGAAGCATTAAAAAATATAAACCAAGAGAAAAGAACCAAATATATTAATATGCACCAAGCTTATTGTTCTCAAAGTCATAATCAAACCGTAATTGTCACTATCACCATAAAAAATGTACCAGAAATCTGCCAAATTTGAGGAACATCTATCTTCAAAAGACATAGTATGTGCCTTAAGACAATCTCAGTACTCTTTCCTACTTTACATCTCTCTTTGTATTAGCACTTTTGAAGGCAATAAAGGGAAAGTTCAACCCCAAACATTATTTTTCCCTCTGACAAATAATATACCACTTAAATCAGAAAATATTCAAGAAAAGAGCACTTTAATACCAGTGAACCAAATCATTCAATACAAAATTAAAATTTTTTCTTGACTCAGAGAAGAAATTACACTCACTTCTTTTGGAGTATGATTATCAGCAATTCTCTGACCTTCAAACAGAAACCTGAGTGAATTCATTGGAACTCCCTAAAAAGGCAAAAGACACATATATACACACAAAACTTAGAAAAAAAGGTAATAGGAACTTTGATGCACAAAAAGCAAACTATGAAAGCATCAACAGAATGCATAGAACATAAAATTAGACAGCTAATTCTATCACAATTACCATTTATTGAATACCAACTATTTGCTAGGCCCTCCTTGTTCTAAGTATTTTACATGCATAATCATAAATGTTCGTCGCAACAACCCTGGAAGGTAGGTATTATCACCTTACCTTCATTTTACAGCTAGACAATCTAAGGCAGGAGTCCCCAATCCCTGGACTGTGGACCAGTACTAATCTGTGGCCTGTTAGGAACCAGGCTGCACAGCAGGAGGTGAGCAGTGGGCCTGCAAGCGAAGCTTCATCTGTTATTGGCAGCCGCTTCCCAATGCTACTAACATCACCTCCTCAGCTCCACCTCAGATCCTCAGGCAGTAGAGTCTCATAGAAGCACTGGTCCCTGGTGCCAAAATGGTTGGGGACTGCTGATCTAAGGTATGAAGAGGGCAGACAAGCTGGACAAGAATTTAAGGCTAAATCAGTTCCTAAGCCTATGCTCTTGACCACTATTTTACAGTTTCCTCTCAAATCTGTAAGCTAACATAAAAGATAAAATCAAAAATTGGATGAGCACCTACTAGCTTCCAACTGTACGTGAAAAATTGGTTTTAAAAAAGATTAAATCACAGAAAATTGGTAAAGCACAGTAGCTAGCCAGATAGGCTACAATAAACCTGTGATGTCAGAGCACAATAAATATCATGGAAGATATTAAAATATATTTTCTAATCACTTACTCAACAAAAATAGCTAAAAGGGAAGCGATGACTCATTTAAAGAGAAATAATTTCAATAAGTACAAATTAAGATAATTTATGTAGCACAAAAGTATTATGAAAGTTTCGCTCAATACCTAATATATTAAGATTTTCACTGTTTAAACACACAAAAATATCCAAAAAAAATAAAACTACTTTTCAATATGTACTACACATGAGACCATGCAAACTTACCCTTCAATTGATTTTAATTCTCTCCAGGGTTATAGTAAATAATAAAATAAACATAAATGACAAAGGCAGAATATTCTTTGATTTTAATTTAAACCTATAATTATCTTGTGTTGGGGTTAAAAACATTTCTATAGAAATTTATCTACAAGAACAAAATGGAAAAATGATTCAATAAATATTTACTTTGCACACTTTTCAATCTCTATTGGGTAACTGTTGCATAACTCAGATGAATTGTTTCCTATTCCTTGCATATCATTAAATATAAGAAAAAATTTACCAAGCCCCTGTAAACTAAGTATAAAAACCTTTTCTAAAGACTGTAAAGTATACTGAGGCATAAACAATAAAGTTGGAAAATATTATAAATTGATGTTATATTTTAATTATCTCCCCAAACCCAGCACCTTTAATTTGAGATCAAAGTTTAGTTTTCACTTTAGCTTTGTGATTTACGTCTTTACTTTACACTGTTTTTCTTCAATATTCAACTCCCTGGTCTATAGATGGGGTGAAAAGACTATATAATTTTCTTCAGGGTTGTGAGGATTAAATGACAATGCATCTAAGTACCTAGCACAATGCATGTAATACATGTTCCTTTCCCATGGTGAACATCTCAATTTTAGCTCTCATTGGTATTATTAAAAATGTGAACTAATTGAGCCCCAATTAATAAGATTTTACTGAGTCTGACATCAAAAACAGACATGTTTATTGCTTTACTTATCCTAACATCTATGTGATCTTTCTTCTAGCAAAAGTGATTTTTATGTAAGTTATAAATTTAAACTATAAAATCTCCTAAAATACCTTTAACACCTGAGTTACTATCATGTAATACAATTCAATTATTAAAATATACTTTGGTTGTCTCCTACATACGGATGGTTTTATTTATGATTTTTTTTACTTTACAAGGGTCCAAAAGCAATTTGGGTTCAGTAGAAACTGTACAGTTGAACTTTAAACAATATGAGTTTGAACTGCGCTGGTCCACTTATATACAGATTTTTTCAATAAATACATACAGCATTATAAATGTATTTTCTCTCCCTTGTGATTTTAATATTTTCTTCTCTAGCTTACTTTATTGTAAGAATACAGAATATAATACATATAACATACAAAATATGTGTTAATCAACTGTTTGTTATTGATGAGGCTTCCTGTCAACAGCAGGCTATGAGTAGTTGTTTTTGGGGAGTCAAAAGTTATACATGAATTTTGGAATGTATACATGAATTATGGATCAGTGCCCCTAACCCCTGTGCCATTCAAAGATCAACTGTACTTCAAATTTTGATCTTTTCCCAGGCTAGTGATATGCATGCAGTACAACACTATCTCGTGACGCTAGGCAGCAGCAGCGAGGTGTAGCTCCCAGCCAGCCACATAATCACAAGGATAAACAACAAATATTCCACCATGTGCTGTGTTGTCACCAGAGTATTTTTGGATATGTGTTCTGAGCATGTTTAAGGTAGGCTAGGCTATGATGTTCAATAGGTTAGGTGTATTAAATGTATTTTTTACTTACAACATTTTCAACTTATGATGAGTTTATTAGGCTATAACACCATCATAAATTGAGGAGAATCTGTATACTAATTTCAACTACATTTATTAAAAAATATATTTTATTAATAATGATGAGTTACATTTATTGAGCATTTTCAGGCATCATATTAAAAGCTTTATGTAGGTCATCTTATTTCACCTTCATGAAGGTAGGCACTGTAATATTCCCATTTTACTAAGGAGAAAACAAGGCACATAACTTATTTATGGACCCATAGTCAGAATCCTTGATGTTGAAAATATAAAATACAATTAGCCATAATCTATAGTACTATGTATAAATATAATAAACTATTAGTGTTAGTAATTAAATTTAACATATGGCTAAACATGCATGGTTACAAACAAGAACATTTCATAGTAATGACCAAACTTTACTTGCCTTCATTAAATACACTGGTAAGCCATCAAGAAAAATTAATGACATATAAAGCATTCTATTTAATACAATAACATAACAAACCTGTCTTTGACAGTATGATTCTTTGAGTTTCTTGAGATGTGTCGTCATTTTCACTTTGAAGTGAATCTCACTGCTATCCTAAGGAGATAAAAGAAAAAGATTACCCCTCTTTGTGTAAACTATTTGCTTTGGTTGAAACGAATTATTTAATTACACAAATAGAAACATAAACTTTGTCACCTGTATTTTCCCACCAAAACATTTTTTTAACATTCCTAACAGGTTTTATTAAAAAAACTCTAATCATCCTCAAAATTGCTTTACACCCATTTCAAAAGAAATTTAATAAAACAAAGACAGTATGTCTTGGGTGTTAAAATTATCAGTAAAAGCATGTATGTCAAAAAATGCATTCCTTCATAATTGCATTTCCATTCTTTTTAAAATAAAAGAAGCTGAATTACGACAAACCCTCAAAAGCAGCTCAAAACAAAAGGTACCTCCCCCTCCAAGTGAAGTGTCACTGAAGGTGGTCAAACTACAAGAGACATATATGTTATAAAATAACAGACTGAGAAACTTATTCCTGCCATAAAAAGTCTGGTTTCTCTCTTATGAATAAAATGAATAAGAACCTGAGTCAGTCAAATTGATTTGTGGAACCAGATTCTTTTCTTCTACCCAGACTGTCAGGCAACCAAAAGAAATAAACATTGGCATTTGCATACTGTAAAATTCAAAGCAGATCCTTATGATTACATATAACAGTCATAAATGTATATTAGTGGAAGCTGAATGTTTACAAGATTTTCGTGACTATAATTATAAAGAAAAATAAATTTTCTTCTTATAGGTAATTTCATGAACAGACAAAATTTCTATAGTATACATCACTCCATACACTAAAATCACTTTGAGGTGAATTAAAAGAGCTAACATTAAAAAAAAAATTTTTTTTTAATATTTTCTCTTCTTCTTAAGAATTTTCCCCTAATCTTCACATTGAGAAATCCCTATTCTAAAGCAGGATTTTAACCTAGAAGCCATTAAAAAATAAAAAGATTGATAAATTTGACTTAATAAAAACATAAACCATTCTCCAGTAAAACAAGTTTTACTGTACCATAAACAAAACTTAAGAGACACTGGAGAAAATATTTATAAAATATAACAGACAAGAAATATTAAGAGAATATAGGAACTCCAAATCAGTAATTTTTTAAAAAGTAATTCATGGAATATGACAGACATACAGATCAATGGAATAAAACTGAGAGCCCAGAAACGAAGCCATATGTATCTATGGTCAATTGATTTTTGACAAGGATGCCAAGCAGTTTAATGGGAAAAGGACAGACTTTTCAACCAATGGTCTGGAACAAATGGACACCTCTGTGCAAAAGAAAGTTAGAATCTACCTCAAACCCATACAAAAAGTACTCAAAATAATCAAAGACTTACTATAAAAGCTAAAACCGAAAAAAATCTTTGAAGACTCTATAGGTGTAAATCTTTGTGACCCTGGTTTAGGCAACAGTTTCTGAGATATAACACCAAAAGCCCAGCAAAAACAAAAAAAAAATAAAAAAACACATAAATTCAATTAATCAAAATTAAAAACTGTGCTGCAAAGAACACAACCAAGAGTGAAAAGACAACCAAAAGAGAGAAAATATGTGCAAAACATCTATCTGATGAGGATCTAATATCCAGAATATATAAAAAATAATTACAACTCAAAAATAAAAAGACGAATAATCCAATTTAAAAATGAACAAAAGATCTGAATAGACATTTCTCCAAAGATGATGTACAAATGGCTAATAAGAACATGAAAAGATGCTCAGCATCATTAGCCATCAGAGAAATGCAAATCAAAACTGAATGAAATACCACTTCACAGCCAGTAGGATGAATATAACCAAAAGGACAGATAACAGCAAGTACTGACCAGAATGGAGAGAAACTGTAACCTTCATACATTGCCAGTAGGAATCTAAAATAGTGCAGCCAGTGCTGGAACAGTTTGCTAGTTCCTCAAAAAGTTGAAATTACTACTATATTAGAGCCAATAATTCCTCTTCAATATACCAAAGATAATTGAAAACATAGCTCCACATAAAAACTTGTATATAAATGTTCACAGCAACATATTCATAACAACCAAAATACTAAAAAAACCCAAATGTCCATAACTGATGACTGATAAACAAACTGTGGTATATCTATACAACAAAACATTTATAATTGATGCATGCTACAACTTGGATAAACCTTGAAAATATTATGCTAAATGAAAGAAGCCAGACACAAAAAGGCACATAACATCTGACTCCACTGACATGAAATATGAGTAGACAAAACCATAAAGACAGAAAGTAGATGAGTAGTTTCTAAAGACTAGGGGGAGAGAAAGATAGAGAGTTACTGCTGGGTACTACATGTATTTTTGGGGTGATAATTATGTTCTGGAATTAAATAGTGGTAATGGGTGAATGGCCTTTGTGAAAATACTAAAGTCACTGAATTATACGCTTTAAGGTAAATATTATGGCATGTGAATTATATCTTAATAAAAATTTTTCAAAATAAGATAATCACAGATGAGAAAAAATATAAACATATAATCATAGAATACAAATACAGATCAAAAACTACACCTCATTGATAATCAGATAAATGCAAAATAAACAAAAATTTTTTACCTATGATACCAGCACAAAATTGTAAAACCTGTAATATCCCACGATTGAGAGAATGTGTGGAAATGGCACTCTCACACTCTGATGGTGAGAGTCCACCAATTCTCTTGCTTTTTAAAAAAAATACATGAAAATTCGTTCTTCTGACAATTTTCAGCTAACCTTAATTATCAGTTAACATCTCAAAAAGAGTCAATATAGGTACAGGCCTGACTCTGGAGAAATGAGGTGCCAGGAAAGAGAAAAGAGTGAAAAATAAAGCTGAGAAGCCCTTTTGTTTAAGGTGGGCCCTGGTCTTATCACTTAATAGTATTCACTGTATTTGCCCCTGAAGCATACTAACCAAGAAAAAGATTTTATTTGGAGAAATTAAGGGGTCTAAATCTGCCTAGAAGAGCAATTAAAAGTTACCAGCCCCTTCTACCTCCAACAGATGCATTCATAGTGAATGAAAACTCCATTTTTAAATAACTTGCCTTATTTAAATCATGTTTCCTGTGTCAGAAATTATTCACACATTCAAAGAGAGTCAAAAGAGAAAAATAATGAAACTCACCTGACCAATGACTTTGAGTTTAATGTATTCTCCTTCCTTCTTATCTCCCAAGTCCTCAGTTGAAGGTTTTGCTTCCTGAAAGAAAAGTACATTTAAGATAAAAGTTCCTATATGCCATTTTCATTACTTATGAGTACCCATTACTTTAGCTCAAGGTACAAGATCTGTACCTGAAAATACAAAGAGCATTTATTTTCTGACAGTCAATTAAACAAAAAAGTCAATTACGGCCCAAACACCAGTTCACTAGAAATGAAGAAAGATGTCTTTTATTATAATATCCTATAGTAATGGTTTTAAAACTTGAAGGGTTTGTTTAGACTGCTGGGCCCCACTCCCAGTTTATTCAGTAGGCCTGGGATCTGGGGTAGGACTGGGGTGTAGAGTAGGACTACAATTTGCATTTCCAACAAGTTACCAGTGGTGCTAATGCAGCAGCAGCGCAGGACAACAACCTGGAAACCACTATCCTGCAATCAAGTCCTATTAGACATAGGAAACTTGTTCTTCATGAATTCTTAACCAAACACTTTGACAAGATTACCTTCTCACAGCCTATGAGAGAAGTTAACTACTCCAATTACAAAACTGTACTAAACAATGTAAATTAAAATATTAGCATAAGCAAAGTCTATTTAGGAAGGAAACTCAAATAGCAAAATATTGACCTACAGTACCCCAGAATCAAAACAAATCAGTTTTATATCATCTATTATTTTAGACTATCTGAAGCATCATATCCAATTTTAGATTAGGCTTGGCTAAAAAAAAAATTAGGGTAACTGAACTGAAATTTTTTTAGAAAAGGGTAAATAGGAAAAGGAAAGAGGAAAAAAACAGAAGACAGAAGAGAGTTAATGAAATAATTCAAATGAAGGGATAGAGGAAATAAAATGAAGTTAACAAAATAAATTAGTTCAAACAACTTCACCATGAAGTAAAAGTAAGCCATTTTTAGTAAAGGAGGTAGCTTGGAAAATTTCACTCAATCGTGTGATAACAGCTTTCCCATAAGCTATACTTTACTTTGACCATCAAATTATACACTTATTTAAATATATACTCTGTTATTCATTACAACTTCAAACTGTTAATCCACACTTGATAAGAATATAACCAACCATATTGTATTTTACACGTGAAATAACAGGGCCATTACCTGTGTACCTCATGCCAGTACTTAAAAATGAACTACACTCAAAATTTAACAGAACCCATGAAACTAGAAATAACTTTTAACATGAAGATACAGGCTAGAGTCTAAGGATATACTTAGATAACAGAATTGATTTCGTTAGTGTAAATCCTCGCCTGTTTTTTATTCTGCAGTACTTTCAACTTTTGCTGACTGCTGCATATTATGACAGCAGACAAAATTAACCTTCTTTAGTGAGGCAGTATTTCACCTGAAAACTAGAAGACTGTCTTCAGACACAGTCTCACCACCACATTTTTAAGAATTTAAATTCCTAATAAACGGATGCTTCTTTCCTTTAAGTATCTAGAGAGGGCAAGGACAGCTTATTCCATGCAGTGAAGGGCAATAAAGAGCAACAAAGCCCTGAGTTCTCTTTAACTGGGAGGAGTGTAAAGAAGCTGTGTTTGCATTGGCACAAAGAAGGAGAACCACCCCACCCCCACCTCAGGAGCACTACATCAGCACAATGGGGGTGATTTTGTTCCTGTGTTTCCTAGATAGGGTTAGCTAGAGGCTACTCAGGGACAGGAGGAATTCTTTCCCCTTCCTCCAATCCATCTTTCACACTGCTTAAGAATTCTTCCTAAAGCACAGCTTCTCTTCTCCTCTAACTTAACCCCCAAGCAAAAAGCATTATAGATTCCAGTACTTTAAGGCCTAGAACCAAACTCCATAACACAGCTCTGAACAACCTCCATTACCAAGTTCAATTCTCATTTTTCTCTCACCACTTTCTTTACAAACCTAAGGATTTGGTTAAATTAGACTATTTACTGTTCCCCGAATATGTCTACGAGCATTTTCCCACCTTTGGCCCTTTGTGGTCTGTTTCTTTACCTAGAATATATATCGTCCCTCAGCTTCTCTCGAAATGATCTCACAGAAATCCATCCCACACATCATCTGACGACCAGTATTTAAAATACTTTTCCAAGAACCATAGTACCCTTCAACCTTCCAAACTGGATGTTTTCCTTAAATGCTCCTACTTGCAATTTATTCATATCTGTCATAGCATTTATTCTCATTTTTAAAATACTCCCCCTTGACTTTCTTCTCTAGTTGTCCCCATCTTTTTCAACAATTAAACTTTTTACAAGAGTACTCAGCATTTATTTCCACTTTCACTCTCAACCTACTATAATCTGGCTTACTCCTAACCATTCCACTTGACACTGCTCTCACCAAGGTTACAAGTTCAACTGCTTATAGATAAATTCAATGAACAATTTCAAATCTCATCTTAACTCTCTAACAGACACTTCTTCGATGACTTCCTTCCTTGAAAATTCTCCACCTTTGGCCTCCAAGATTCCATTCTTTCATCTTGGCCATTTCCTTAAATGCTGGTGCTCCTGTAGGTTCCATGTCTTCAATCCTCTGGTTTTTCTTTGTCTCCCTGGGTGACCCATGATTCCAACTACCTCTAAGATACAAGTATAGCTAGTTTTCTTGTGCTTTGCTTTATTGTGCTTCACAGATATTGCATTTTCTTTTGCAAATTGAAGGTAAGACCATTCACCAGCAAAAAGACTACAAGTCACTTTATTATAGTGGTCTGGACATCGAACAGGCAATATCTCCAAGATATGCCTGTACTAATAACTCACAATCATTCTCTCCAACCTATTTTTTGTTTCACACTCATTTATCCAAGGGCCTGAGTATCTCCACTTTAGATGTCCCATGGGGGTACCTCAATATAAGTGTTCAAAAAAGAATGCACTCTAACGCCTCTGTTAACTTTAACTCCTCCTGAAAACCTAAACAAACAAACAAACAAACAAACTACTACTCTTCCTGGATTCCTAATTACAATAAATGACTACCATACAATCAACTGCCCACAACAGAAGGTTGGAGGTCATCTGGCTACTCTTCCTCTCTTAAATCTCACACTTAATCATTCATCATTCTGACAATTCTCTCTGAGTGGCTCTCAAGTCCATCTCATTCTCTCCATTCCATTGCCTTAGCTCAGGCATTCGTTCATTGCTCATTAACATTACTGCAACAGCATAACAGATATAACAGTCTTCCTTCAATTAATTCTCCACACTACCATCAAAGCTATGACTCTAAAATGCATTCTGATCTGCCCAGAATCTTCAGGGTTAAGTTCAAATTCCTTCACGTACTGGTTCCTGCCTAGCAATTCAGCCTTATACTCCTATCTCTCTTGCTACTAATATCCTTTGCTCCAGCCATACCGAACTACCTACAATTCCTTGAACACAGCACCCTCTATCTTATCTCCACCATCTCTGTACGTACTAATTCCCTCTGCTTGGAATGCTCTTTCCTATCCTATTCCCAATCAGGCATTACCTCCTACAAAATTATGCCCCTGATCATTCTCTTAAATGTTCACATGCTGCTTATTTTTATCTTTTATAATCACATGTTCATCTATCTGTATCTCTCAGCAGAATGACTTCCTATTGGTATGCTTACTCTTCTTTGTATTTCTGGTCAAGTACAGTGCTTGGAACTTTGAAGATATGCAACATGCTTGTTAAATAAATTGTTTTCTGTGACAGTTTTCTATGTCTTGTCTTCTCTACAAGTTTATAAGGAGAGGATCCAAGTTTTTGCATCTTTATAACCTCCGTAGTGTTGGGCAAAAGCTACACAATTGTTTAATGCTTGTAGAATTACAGTGACAACACTATTTTCTGTATCGCACCACAAAATCTTACTAATGTTTCATATTTCTACTATACACAAGTCGGTACAAACAAAAATCTTTTCCATTTTCTGTATTCATAGTTGGGTAAGAGATAATTCACTTCAATTTCATAAGAATGTGTGAACACCAGGATTTGAAATTTTAAAAAATAAGCTGCCAATTTCCCTAGTCGCTCCATTTTGGCGACCTCTTCCCAACTCTGAAGCACTACAGCAATGTCATCTGTACCATCTGTTTAATAGCCCCATGCCTGCCTAATGCAGTCATCCAAGTTTTCATGTCCTCTTTTTTTCGACAATTTAGTCTGGAAAATGAGATGATCTTAGACAAAAAAGGCCAAAGTTTGTCTCCAGTGATGTCCATGTCTTTTGTATGCTGTTTTCCTTTTTCTCTCCTGTAAAAAAGCAGCCAATACAGAATGGTATGGCACACTAGTTACAAAACAGTGAAAGCATTCAACTTTCACTGGGTCTGGGACACTAGGTCATCAGAGAAAAGAGCATCTCAGAGAGGGCTGACTGGTTTGGTTGGAAAGGAAACATATCTCCAGAGAGAAGAAATTGGTAATGAAAAGTAAATGTATACACAAGATCAAAGAGAGGAACTGGAAACCTCTACATTTTCAGGTATGCCATCCACAGACTGAATCATGGTAACTGAAATGATAAAGGAATTTATCAGGCACCAGGCACTATCAACTCTTCTCTCCAAGTCATAAATGGAACAGCTTGGAAATAGAAGATGGCTAAAGATCTAAAAAAAGAATTAGACTAGAAAGGACAAAAGACACAACAATCCTTATTTACAAATGTTCAAAATTAATGCAGAGGATCTTACTGTGCAATTTCAAAGTCAGAAAAACAACTCTGTTTAGAAGCACTCTGACAATCAGTATGCTGACAATTCAATCACATGAAGAGAGCATCACACTTAACTACCCCTAATCTGTCATTGACCCTTCCAGTAATACAAAGATTGTTCATTCTTCTGAAAATGGGAGGATTCTGGGGAAATCCAAAAGCAAGAATACATTTATTATTATTTGATGACATTAACAATTGGTTCATTTTTAAAGGTGTGAAACAGCATCCTGATTATGTTAAAAGAAAAAGTCCTCTTTTAGATACATACTAAAATATTACAGATGAAACGATGTGATGTCTGAAATTGACTTCAAAAAATATGAGA